GTTTTTTCACGAGCTTAACATAGTCGTACTGTCCCGAAACTTCATACATATAATCCTGGTAGTAAAGTCAAACATCTTATCCAAGATGGCGGCACCCTGCTCCGCTGCGGCTGCAGTGGCTCGTGATAGCAACAGGAATATAATGGCAAATAACTCAGTCAGTTCTGATAATTTCACAGTAAACCTGCAGCATAGTTACTCTAAAGTAATATACGACCGCCAGGCAATTTTAGTTTTAGGTAAATCAAACAGTTTCAGTCCGGTAGATGCGACTACTCTGGACCTTCTACGTAGCCTCGGAATACTACGCCGGCTACATCCAGCGGCCTGTGAAGCAGCGGAGCCTCGTACCAGCGGTGTCCGCCAGCGGAGGAGACGGAAGCGGTGTGACCGGAAGCAAAAACGGGGATGCCGAGCGGGGCTAACAACCAAGCTAAAAGCTAACCCGCACAGAACGCCGCTTCCTTCCATCCTGCTTTCTAATGTCCGCTCCCTGGAGAACAAACTGGACTACCTGAAGCTGGATTTAACTGCAAAACGGGAGATGAGAGACTGCTGCGCCATATTTCTCACAGAAACGTGGCTGAAACCATCCGTTCCAGATGAGGCAGTTAGCATAGAGGGGCTAACATTATTTTGGTCGGATAGGAGCAGCTCTCTCACTGGTAAATCCCGAGGTGGCGGTGTTTGCATATACACCAACAACAACTGGTGCAACAACGGTGAGATAGTCTCAAGTCACTGCTCTCCTGATGTAGAACTACTGACTATAAAATGCAGGCCTTTTTATTTACCCCGGGAATTCACTGTTATGATCTTCACAGCAGTGTACATTCCTCCCAGTGCAAACCCCAGAGAAGCCCTGAATGTTTTATACCGCTCCATCAGTGAACTGCAATCTACACATCCAGAGGGAGTTTTCATTGTGGCAGGGGACTTTAATCAGGCCAATATGAAAACTGTTTTTCCTCATTTCCATCAATATGTGGATTTTGCAACCAGGGGTGGGAGCACGCTGGACCTGGCCTACAGCAACATCAAGAAGGCATTCAAGGCTGCACCCGCCCCCACCTTGGCTCCTCAGACCATCTCTCTGTGATGCTAATTCCAGCATACAAGCCCCTGCTGATCAGGAAAAAACCCACAGTGAAGCAGGTGAGGGCCTGGCCTGAGGGAGCTATGGAAGCATTACAGGACTGCTTTGAATGCACGGACTGGGACATGTTTAAGGCGGCTGCTACGGACAATCACCAGACGTGTGTGGAGGAGTATGCCGAGTCTGTGTCTGCATACATTCAGAAGTGCATGGAGGATGTTCGTGTGATCAAGAACATCTCCACACGGGCCAACAGAAACCCTGGATGACTAGTGAGGTACATGCAATGCTGAAAGCCCGGAACACGCTTTTAAATCTGGCGACATGGTGGCACTAAAAACAGCCAGAGCCAACCTGAACCGTGCCATAAAGGTTGCAAAGCGTGCTCACAGTCAGAAAGTGCAGGACTTCTTCGAGGACCCCACGAACACCAGACGAATGTGGCAGGGCATCCAAGTCATCACAGACTATAAAGCTACTCCTCCCCCCTGTGACAACAACATCAACTTTCTCAACGACCTCAACAACTACTTTGCAAGGTTTGAGGCACTCAACACCACTCCAGCGAGGAAATCTATTCCTCACTCCGATGAGCAGCCAATCAGCCTGGACGCAGCTGATGTCCGGAGAACCCTGAGGAGAGTGAACACCCGGAAAGCAGCGGGCCTGACGACATACCGGGACGGGTGCTTAAGGAATGTGCTGACCAGCTGGCTGGGGTTCTCACAGACATCTTCAACACCTCGCTGATCCAGGCTGTGGTACCTTCATGTTTAAAGACTGCTACAATTATACCAGTGCCTAAAAAATCCACAATCTCCTCGCTCAATGATTACCGCCCTGTAGCACTAACCCCATCATGATGAAGTGCTTTGAGAGGCTGGTAAAGGACCACATTGTCTCCAGACTTCCCCCCACATTCGACCCGTACCAGTTTGCTTACCGCCCAAACCGCTCCACAGAGGATGCCATCTCCTCTGCACTCCACCTGGGCTTACAACATCTGGAAGAGAAGGACACACATGTGCGGATGTTGTTTCTGGACTTCAGCTCAGCGTTCAATACAATCATCCCGCAGCATCTGGTGAGCAAACTGGCCCCCTTGGTTTCAGCACCCCCCTATGTAACTGGCTGCTTGACTTCCTCACAAACAGACCCCAGTCTGTGCGGGTGGGCAACAACACCTCCAGTGTCATCTCCCTGAGCACCGCTCCCCTCAGGGCTGCGTCCTGAGTCCGCTGCTGTTCACCCTGATGACCCATGACTGCTGCGCCAGGTCCACTACTAACCACATCGTGAAGTTTGCAGACGACACAACAGTAGTGGGCCTCATCCGTGACAACAACGACATGGACTACAGAGAGGAGGTGAAACATCTGGTTGACTGGTGCAGAACCAACAACCTGGCCCTGAACGTCGATAAAACTAAAGAGATCATCGTCGACTTCAGGAGGCGCCAGCCCAGCAACACACCACTCCTCATCAACGGCACAGCAGTGGAGAGAGTTAGCAGCACAAAGTTCCTGGGGGTGCAGATAACAGACACTCTGACCTGGTCCCTTAACACCGGTGCTCTTGTGAAAAAAGCGCAGCAGCGCATGCACTTTCTGCGTCGGATGAAGAGAGACACCTCCCTCCTCCTATTCTCACCACCTTCTACAGAGGCACTATAGAGAGCATCATAACAAACTGCTTCTCTGTCTGGTCCGGAGCCTGCAGTGCCTCCGACTGGAAGTCCCTGCAGAGAGTGGTGAGGACGGCGGAAAAGATCATTAAGACTCCACTTCCTCCCATCCAGGAGATCGCAAAGATCCGCTGTCTGACCAGGGCTCAGAAAATCAGCAGAGACACCTCCCACCCCCACCAAGGACTGTTTTCGCTGCTGGACTCTGGAAAGAGGTTCCGCAGCCTCCGAAACAGAACTTCCAGGTTCTGTAACAGCTTCTTCCCACAGGCCATGAGACTTTTGAACACGAAAAAATAATCCCTCCATTCCCCCTCAAACCCCCACAGAGGACTACCTCACTGGACTGTAAAACACAATATAACGTGCAATATATTTATCTGTATAGTAATTTTACTCATAGTTTTTCTTTTTATATCTATTTATATCTGCACCTTATTTTTATTTTTATATGTAAATACATGCTGCTGTTTTTATCCTGCACTACAACGGGCCAAATGCAACGAAATTTCGTTCTTATCTGCACTTAAAGTACAAGTTTGAATAACAATAAAGAAAGTCTACGTCTAAGTCTAAGTTTAAGTAAATGGGCGTGGCTTAACGACTCAGTGGCACCCCCTACAATAATTCAAACATTCAGCCCCCGCAGCACGTTGAACCTACAATTCTGAATCTTACGATGCATTTCTAACATGACAAAACCTACAAAAAAGCCTCTTCAAGCCACGCCCCAAAACTCAACAGGAAGTCCACAAATCACATCGCTATCAAACAGGAAGTGGCTGTAACTCTTATATACTTTGTCTGATCTTCTTGAAATTACATAGGTATGATCAGGGTTGGTCTCTGAACACAGTGACACAAAACAATGATAAAGTTTAACCATAGCGCCCCCTACTGCAAGGACTAAGTACTACATCATACATACTTTCTCCAATCTGGTTAAAATTTGCCAGGTATGATCAGGGTTGGCCTCTGAACACATTGACATAACAATAGTCAACTTTAACCATAGCGCCCCCTACTGCAAGGACTAAGTACTACCTCCCATATAAAATCTCACATTTTATTCAATTTTCACTTGAATCATCTCAATACCGGCCTGCTCACATCTAACCTAATACAATTGGGCCACTGACATAGCGCCCCATACTGGAAAGACACTGTACTACATCTCATATAGTTTGTCTGATCCGTTCCAATTTTCACAGGTATAATCAGGGTTTGCTTCTGAACACCATCCCAAAACAATAATAAAGTTTAACCATAGCGCCCCTACTGCAAAGTATAAGTACTTTCTTCCATATACAATGTCAGATTTGCTCAAAATTTCACATGAACAATGTCAGTACTGGCATGATCACATCTAACCTAATACAATTATGCTATCAACATAGCGCCCCCTACTGGAAATAGGCGGTACTGCATCTCAGATACTTTGTCTGATCTGCTTCAAATTTCACAGGTGATTAGGGTTGGCCTCTGAACACATTGACATAACAATCATTTACTTTAACCATAGCACCCCCTACTGCAAGGACTAAGTACTACATGTTATATACTTTGTCTGATCTTTTTGAAATTCCTGAGGTATGTTCAGGGTTGGCCTCTGGACACAATGACAAAACAATAATAAATCACCGCTTGCGGTTTTATTCTTATTGGTGTGCATTAGTCTCTCAATGATTTTATGAATGATTTTATAAATTACTTCATGTCAATAACTTTTCTGCACTCTTGTTAACACTTACTACTTCTTCAAGGTATGGGCAAGGCGTTTCATAAAAGTCTTTATGAATACAAATAGAGACACATGACTGTATATAAGCAGTAGTGATTAACTTCAATTTGAGATGCAAGCAGATGCAGTTAAAGGGACAGCATAAAGAAGTCTGTGGGATGATATGATGGAGTCCTTAACGTCCTTAAATCTGACAACACGCTGCCCCACGGCGAGGTTAAAGTAAAAGTGCTTAAGCCTCCAAACATTGTTGATAATGACGACGGTAATGTGACACAATGAAGTCAATTTAAAGTAAAATAAATATACAGCTCCTAACATGTTGCCCTTTGAGCTTATTGCAGATTCAACACAATCTACACAGAATAAAAATAGTTTTACATTCAAATCTTTGATGCCAATAAAGGGCCAAACAGTAGCACTTCACATTGGTTAATGATTAAAGCGCAACTGTGGATAAACAGTATGTAGAGCATGTGATTGTGTTGGACTTTTACAATCGAGTTCCTTCTCCGTCTGGTGTAAGATCAACCACCAAACAGGTAGGCGGATATAAGATGTTATTTTTGGCTGTATATAAAAAATAGGAAACCTCGATGACTTCTGTAAATCACTCCAAACTGATGCACACTGCAGACTTTGATTTAAAGTGAGGTGCCGAATGATAAAACAGTTTGAAGCTCTTAAAGTTATTCACCGTCCAACAACAATGGACCATGTTTGATTGCGCCAATCGCTCCATCATGAAAACACCTGGACTAAAAGAATAACATGCCACCTACACTGGCGGTTAAAATAGTCATTATGTGTTACCTCATTTAATCATTCATACTTTTCTATCTGAGGCGTGTTTAAACCTTCTGTCCGGACAAAACAATGATATCAAACCTTTCCTTATGTTTGACTGCTACAGCAAAATGCTAAATGGATATTTATTTGATCTTGACAATTAATCAATAAAAACATTACCCTAATCCTGTGAATCAGCGTTGTGAATGGATGAAATCTAAGCTGGCCTCTTCTCTACTACAATAATCAAAATCAAATTTAGAGAACTAAGCCATCCAAGAAAAATCAAATACAATATGTTATTTGTTTAAAAAAATGTTTTTAAAGATGCAACTAAAACAATTGTTATTTGGAATGGATTAACTTGTAAAACTTTTCAATGTTCAAATCTCGAGGATGCGTCCCCTGAAGGATGGTTGGCCCTCTAAACGTCAGCAAAGCTCCATCAGCTCTGTGCTTTTCCACCAAATTGTTGTCCTTCTTTTTCTGACGCCGAGCTGTGCAGGTAAGAACAGACAATATCAACTTTCAAAATGGATCAACTGCTCACACAACATACAACACATGTCTGCCCAAGAATACTTTCTTATCAGTTGGGAGTTACACAAAAAAGACATCTCAATAGTCTGAGCTAAAACTTAAAAGCAAAGGTTAAGTGCTGCAGACCATTGATTGATTAACAGAAATTAGCCATTCTGTAATTCGATGGAACATCGACTTCTTCAAGCGGTGAAAGATCTTAAATATCCTTTTAGTCCACAACATTCAGATTTAAATACATACCTTAATGTACAGTATGCAGATTACTTCATATATGTAGCTGAAGCTCAGTTCACTTAAAGGAGCAATATGTAGCTCTGACACCTATTCATTCATTCAGGACCAGAATCTAAAGTTAGAAGGAGGACATAGGAGGCTGCTGCATTGTTGTCAGAGAAGCCAGCACTTCAAGATAGCATGTTTCCTTAATGTCTGATGATGTAGTAAGGTCAGTTTATAATTTCATTCGGTAAGTATCTTACTGATTGTACTGCAGAGTTACCTCGAGTCAATAGTATTCTGTGTATAAAAGATGCACAAGTGGTCTGCTATTTCTTAGAAATATGGAGTACCACAGGGTTCAATTCTTGGACTCCACAGATCTGATGAATCATGTTTCAAACATTATGCAGACGACATTTCACTTAACCTTTCTTGTCAACACTATGAACTGACCTCATTTAAGCCATTACTAGGCAACATAGTGACTTAAAGTGTTTCACTCAAAGTCTTTATGAACTACATTATGTGAGATTACATATTTAACCATTTGGTTGTTTCAATCAGATTCCTTGTGCATTTCTTGCAGCTCAGTCTCTGGTGTTTACACCATCGCAGCTAATTGTAGCCAGAGTTGGTGAAGACATTGTGTTGCCATGTTATCTGGACCCTCCTCTAACGACTGTGGGGGCATCTGCACGAATGGGGCCCAGGCAATGGCAGGGAAACGGGGAGGGCTGCAAGCGCTCATCAAGCGCGTCTCCCCCGACGTGCATTGCACGCACTGCATGATCCACAGAGAAGCGCTCGCTTCTAAACAGCTGAGTCCTGAGCTTAACGATGTGATGACAGATATTATTGCCACGGTAAACTTCATAAAGACTAGACCCGTCAAAGCCCGAATATTTTCTGCACTGTGCGAGGAGATGGGCTCTGGTCACACTGCTTTATTGTTCCACAGTGAGTCTCAGTGGCTGTCACGTGGAAAGGTTTTGTCCAGGGTGTTTGAACTGCAGGATGAGATCAGAATCTTCTTGGAGGAAGAGGGGAATGAACTTGCCCACAAGTTTAAACAACTTGCATATCTCAGTGACATATTTCAAAAACTCAATTAACTAAATCTGCAGATGCAGGTATGACTGCATCCGAGACGCTTTCAGTGCAACCCCAGCTGATGACTTCAGCACTGCAGAGGAGGAACAGTTCATCGATGTCGACCTCAGACTCAACACTGCGGCTGCAGTTCAAGATCAAGACATTGTCTTAAATTTATTATCTTAAAAAAGTGTTCATTTGAATGTTGCAGTTATACTCTTTATTGCTGCTTTAGAATTGGCTTGATATTCTTGTTTGAGTTTAATCTTCACACGTTGATGCTGCCATTTTTTTTCTGTTTTGGCAAATCTCAGATAAATTCTAAAAATACAGATATTTGACTATAAAGGATGTTATTGTCAGTATTTTTTGTATACACACACACACACACACACACATATATATACACACAAAATGTATTCGGTAACGTGTGGGGGGGCCAAAAGCCATTTTTATGTTCAAAGGGGGGCCTGGAACAACCGAGGGGACCGTCCAGGTCTCAGGAGGCTTGTGGCTCTTGGTGAGCAGACAGAGGAGGCCTGGGCTCACTGGGACCGTCTAAATATTGTTTTTGTTTGAAGCTGATGAATTTTTGTCTGTAGAGTGTTTCTGTAATCTTTCTAACTAGTGTCTGTGTCTCTAATTGTAGTGGGTGTGCCAGTGTTTTATAATATGTGCTGTTATTTAACTGTCTGTGTTGTCCCTATCCTGAATAACTATTTGGCCCCCCTTATCTGCTGGCTTAATGACTATGTGTTTGTGGTTACCCAATGTTCTGATGATGCGTTTATGTTCCTGACTAATGTTGTGCGTTCTGTGTGGCAGGGGGCGCCAATGTGTGGATGAGACCTTTTTCTCAAATCTCCAGCTGCACGGCTGTGAGGGAGAAAACGGCACAGAGGTTGGTAATGTTGGACTGGTGGGGAGTTGCGATTTGACAGTTGTCCCCAGTTACAAGTTTAATTGCTGTTTCCAGTACCTGAACAACGTCCCGGCCGTGTTTGCAGTCCAATCTATGTGGTCCTCGTCTGTCTGGAAGAGTAGTGGATTTATTTCAGGTATGAAGTTAAGTGTGGTGGGATCGTGTTCTGAGAGGCAGTTGTTGAGTCCGACTGAGAGTATTAACTGTGTGGTGTTGTGGCATGGGGTGAGTTTCTTAAGTATGCTGGCTGTGTGATGGAAGTTGGCTCCGGGAAAACTGTCTACCTGTATGTGTGGGTCTGTGAAAGGAGGGATCCGGGAGAGGTTGGAGTCACCTATAATGAGTGTCTTCTTCCGGACCTCCAGCGACCAGTCCTGTATCTTTCTGTGAGTGTGTGGGTGTGTGTGTGGTTCCGGCCTACTTGGGGAGCCAGGTCCTGCCACGAAGGCCCTGGTGGTATAAGAGGTGGATATCTCAGATGTTGGGGTTGTTTTCAGCTTTGGTTACTCTCTTCATCATCATCACCCTTCAGAGCAAGCAGCTCTGGCTCCTCTGCTGGTTGTGTGGTGTGTCTGTAAGTGGAGAGGATGAGATGGTGTTACTGCAGGGCAGAACAATGTTACTGTAAGGCGGTGTCTGTTCAGTGCGGTTATTGACTGTGTGTGAAGGGGGTGAAGAGGGAGGGGAGGAGGGGGCGACAGGGGCAGGCAGAGGACCCAGACGGTCGAGTGCACTCTGTGGGAGTGGATGGATCTCAACCTTCACTCGCTGTCCGGGGCAATGGAGGCTGAGTCACCCTGCCGGGCCCCGATGCCGTCGCCAATCCCCCAAACGTACAGAGACCTGAGGAAGTGGTGGGAGGAGGAGAGGGGGTGGGCTAGACTTAAGGGATGAGGAAGTATGGTAGTGGAGAGAGGGGGGAGGAGGAGGAGAGCAGGGTTAAGGTTAGGTTTAGGGGAGGGTAGGGTGGGGTAGTAGGGGAGGAGGAATCAAGCAAGGGGAAGAAGAAGGGGGACGACACGAGTTCGGGTTAGGGGGAGGGGGTTAGGGAAAGGGGTAATGGCCCAAACTGCTACCCCTAGCATGTTTAGGGTTAGCGTTAAACTCTCATTCATTACCAACATTTATACATTTAGCTGTTTTATTCAGTTATTGAAATTTGAGATTACAACACATTCCAAATGTCTACTATAACACATTATTTAGATATTCAACCTTACATCACTTCCTACATCTCTCTTGTTTCAAACAAGCTTTTTAAACTGATTATAATCAGCAGGTGAATGCAGAAGTGAAACAAAGCTCAAACAGTCAAACTTCTACGTATTCTCAGTGATATTTATAATGAGAAGACAGATTGGTACCTTTGAGTCGATGATGAAGAAAGTCTCATGTTACAGCGATCTGGGAGGACATCAGAGCCCGTTATAGCTGCTTCATTTGGGCTGCTGGTCTCACCACACTGAACTAACCTCAAACAGCATGACTATTTTGACTAAAGACTGTTCCCCCAGTTCAACCATGCTGCTCTTTCCTTTTGTTTGACTTTCCACAGCACACCTCGCTCACCATACCTTCACTCATGCATACACCCTTACAAGGTCGATTTGCTGACGTCCACATCCTCACAATCCTTCTTTAATCGACGCATTCACTTTGTTGTGAATAAATATGACATACTTTTGTGAGTACCTCCTAGTCTCCTCCCGTCATTTGTGTCCCGTGTTTTCAGTCAGCCCCAAACTGAGGGTTCCTATAATATAACTGAACCTCATCAGTCCGCAAAGTCTTTGTCCACTTCTCTGGCCTCTGATTGTCAAACAAATGCACGTTGGCCATGAGGGGGAGGAGCAGCACAAATTCCAACATATTGTTGCTTAAAGACAATTACAAAGTTGGCGTACTGTCAGCTGTAGAATATATCAAGAATTAGAGGACATGTGTCCCAGTAGGACTTGGAAAAGGCTGAAAGTCGTCCATATTGATGCTTTAAACTGTGTGGACGGTTCTATTGCAGGTTGTTTCCAGCTCACAGCAGCAACACCTGACCATCAAATGACTAAAGTGACCAAAGGATGAGGGCTTACAGTTTCAGCTCTGACACTGCCTTGCAGGTGTGTCTGCAGATATCTTGTGTTTCATTTTTAACAGCTGACATTTTTATTTCAAACTGCCTGACTTTACGTGTTTATATCAATGTTTTCACATCATAGCAGTCCGCTTTGTTCTTTGGCTCCGCCCAATGACGCTAATCTATCAACTGAGGTGTTACCACCACCACAGCAGCTCAGTCAGTGTGAACGTCGTTTTGAAAAAAATCTAAGTGTCAAACTAGGATTTTTTTGTGTTTTTACACGAGCAGCATAAATAGACCACACAGGAAGAAGCCCCTCCTCAGTTACACTTCAGTTCAGCTTGGTGTTCAGACAGTCAACATGGAGGTCGGCGCGCTCTGCATCAAACTCTGTGAGTACGATTGGTTAAAACTAAAGAGTGTAGTCGTTCAAGGTTAGGATGGTAATGATGGTTTAATGCAGAGGTTCTCTTGGGCTTGGAAAGACTTTCAGGTTCAGAATATTTATATGAGGTTTTTGGCCTGAAAGATAAAAATGTAAAAGTCAAACATCAAAGGCAGCTTTAGGAGCTGTAAGAATCAGTTGAATATACGACTGTTAAAACACGTCTCACTCAATGTGGAGCTCTTCTCTTTTGTTATTCCAGTGGTCCACGTGTTATTCCTGCTGTGTGCACATGTTCAGGACGCTGGTAAGTACCAGGCTGATGCTTAGTTGTATTTTAACTTCAGTTGGTACTTTCTGGTGAAATAAGAGAACACGTCTTTCTATGGTTTGTTTCAGATTCACTGATTCTCCGTCTTGAACCAAACAGACTGCAGTTCTTTGAATACGAGTCTCTGATCTTCCATTGTGAGGGCTCTCATGACTCGACTGGATTGAAAATTGTACATCGGTCCAAAGGGGAATTAGTAGAATGTAACACTACAGTGACATCAAAAAGGTCATCCTGCACTATTCCTAATATTTTTCCAGAGGACAGTGGGCAATACTGGTGTGAGTCCAGAGATGGGAAGAGAAGCGACATCATCCACATCAATGTTACTGGTATGTTTGCATTAAGACGAGATCTTTACATGCACTCATCTATGTGTGATATAAAATATGAACCACATGTTGTTCAGATGGTCCTGTGATCCTGGAGAGTCCCATCAGTGTGGTAGAGGGAGAGGCTGTGACTCTGCGCTGCAGACGCAAGACGACCTCATCCAACCTCTGAGCTGATTTCTACAAAGATGGCCGCCTCATCAGAAAAAGCTCTACAGGAAACCTGAGCATCTCCAGTGTTTCCAAACGTGATGAAGGATTCTACAAGTGTATCTCTGGAGGAAGAGAATCAGCCGAGAGTCTGATGGCTGTTCAAGGTGAGACACATCAGTGTTACCAAATTAAATTGAAAAATATGTTTGATATAACTATGTGTTGAAACAGTATATTGATTGATTTGAAAAGGACAGCGTACATTAATCATCATACAGACGGATGTAAATGTACTTCCATGTGGGATGGGTCTTATAAATGACCTGACACGAAAATAAAATATGAATTTATTGATGTACCCAAGTTAGCAGAAGGCTAATTTTTGGCTCACATCCTCTTCATCCCTTTGTAGGTTACCCAGTGAATCTGTGGTCTCATACAGACAATGATTCATGAGTTTTAACAAACTTGAATTGTGCACGATTGAACTGCATACTTTACATTAATATTAAAAGTTGAAACGTTCAGGTTTAAAATCTTAATTTTTCTTCTAATCTTTCAATCCATCCAAACCTAAAATCCTCTGTCATTGTTTACTTCATTACTTTGTGATTACATTCCAGACATCCAGGGAGAGAATGCCTCATCCTGTTCTACCCTTGGATAGTTATGACTGTTTTATCGATTCTGTTGTTGCTGGTTGGACTTCTTCATTTCGGCAACTATATTCAGAACAAAGGTACAAACACATTTCACTAACGAGAGGCACTTATAGTGATTGATGGGTCACAGTCCCCGTGGAATATTTGCATTTTACATTTGTTGAATGTATTTAATGGATGAATGGGCAGGTTAATAACAGTGGGGTCTTGAACACAGCTTATGGATTCTAAAGGCCCTGACACACCAAGGAGATCGCCGGCCGTCAGTCCTAGTTGCAAATTGCATATTTTTAAACCAGGAAGTGGCGTTATATTTTCACCATGTCTCAATGTCTTCCTGGTTTCCTGTTCATAGTGTTTTTTTTTCATTTCATGCACTGCAATGTTGCTGTACTTGTCCACACTTGCACCTCAATCAGGCACAGCTGATGCTCAAACAGGTAAAAGAACAGGTACCATGAGCATGTTCAGGTAAACTTGTACTTAAAATAAAGGAGTGATAGATTTTTTAAAAAGCAGCCTGCTCGTTTTATCGACGATAATCAGAGCAAATGTCCTTTGAAGTGTGAAAAGGGAAATCTGTTGTCCTTCGGTCCTCATTAGAAAAAGACAAATTATTTAATTACTGTAATTCAAAACTCATTTTCTTTGGAGAAATAGAAAATGTTCAGTTTGTTGATATAATTGCTCAACTTTGAAATCCGTATATATTTTGAATGCCTGTGTAATGTATCGATGTGGATTCTTATCACACATTTGTATTTTCAGTCACTGTTGAGGCCCGTCGAGTGTCAGCAGATGCACCAAGCGACCAAGTGATGTATGCTGCGATTACAATAGACAGAACAAAGAGAGTACCTCACCTGACAGTTTATCCTGTCACGGTTCATTTCACAGTCACGATTCTCCATCCTATGTCTTGATCTTAAACACCTTTCCTTTTGAACCTGGGGTCGTTTAACAACATTAAATGACTACTTCATGTGTCTGTATCTCAAGGCCATGAAATGGACAAAAAATTTTTTATTAATCCCTGAGGGAAATACAACATACATACAAAACATACATGGTCTAAAATGATGTTGAAGACTTTAAGCAGGGTTATTTTACCTTTTCAAACATAATGGTGAAGTTCTTCACAGAGAAACAAAAAAAAAGCTTATTTCTATATGAGATTTAAAATAGTCGTCAAGATGAATTCACCTGCAGACATATTTTCTGATAAAGTCTACAGAGAAGTGAAATGTACACTTCAGATTCAAACACTGAGAATATGCATAACACAGCACTTTGTAAACTACAAATAAAGTTATTATTATTGATTATTGTTACTTAAAAAGTCAATTATCCAAGCTTGGATTTAATGCCTAATGGTTTAATACAGTTAACAGACATAGAACAGGGCGTCATCTGCATATTGATGAATAATAAATCACACACGAGAGGTAGCAGGATGTAGGAAAGTTTTAACAAATAGGATTCAAACCTAAGCCTCGTAGAACCCAAAATAACAGGATAGCAAAAGATCAGAAAGGTTAAAGCAAAGAATTCCTTTCATTTAATCAAAATCAAATCAAAAATGTGTTAAATAAGGTGAAACGTTTCAAGCTTAAACAAGGAGGCTATAACCGTAGCTTAGACTAAACTCCACTTTGGGTGACCCAAGTGACACTCAACAACTGGGTGAGACTTATTGTAATAAAAACGTAAAATAAATCGTGCCTGATGTTCCAGTGTTCTAGTAAGTATTTTGGCAACTCTGTGGAATAATTAAATATAAACTCAAAACAGAGCAAGGAGTATCCAGAACCATGACGGCGACAGTTCACTCAGCTGGTACCAACCGACCTTTGACACAGGAACCCCTCTATTCTTTGATCAAGTAGGTAAGACTCAGGACATTACTGACATTCATATCTGGTAGGATGGACAGCAGAACTTCGAACATGACCCATATTTACAGCTTTCAAACGTCTATGTCACTGGACGTTGATGTTCAACCAAAGCACCACTTAAGGCAGCATTTCCTACATGCTTCAGTTCAATCTTTAGCTGTCATGCTTCTCAGAATGATACGACCGTGTTTTTTATATCAATGTGGTATGCTCAGAACTGTTAACCCTTTCTGTCTTCAGGTCGCAGCGTGACTGCTGAATGAAGGACGAGCAGCACATGAGATGTTTGGTTGAACCTGATGTGTGAAAAAACACTTTTTATTTTATTTTGCATTGTAGAAATGGTTTTCATGCTTTGCGCCCTACATGTGTTGATGTTTAAGATATATTAAAGAGATTGTTTGTACTTTCAGATGTATTATCTGTTATTATTTAGTGACAGTTAAACCCACATGTTCCATCTGCTGTGTGTATTTCGTGAGTGTGAAACTGTGGTCAACCACCACCTTGATGCTGCAGCTTCACTTTCATCTGAAGCACGCTGATTGTGTCCAAATAAAGAAATGATTCTGACACTTTAAGTCTAACGTGGTTGTCAATGTCATACATGAGAAGAAAGAAAATAACTGTGCCATTAAAGAAGTGTACTGGTGTTTATTCTTTCATGCAAACAGTATTTTCTCAGGGTCTTCTTATCAGCAATCCCGATTCATATTCAACATGTTCAACAAAAATGTCTTTTTGAGTGGACAGTAACGGTAGTAGCTCTCAAATGCTTGAGCTGAATGCTATTACAATGCAAGCAATATGTTCAAAATTACCATGCTAACATGCTAATGCTAATTAGATCAAATATTTCACTGTCTCTACGAAAAGATGAGTTTCACCATCTGGGACTGAATGTCTGAACAGAATCTGAAGTAAACCCAGGACCTTCCAGAAAAGAGTTCTTGATTCTGATTGGCTGGCAGTAGGTATATAGTTCTAGAAGAGTTCACAAGTGGGAAGGGTTTGAAGGTGGCAGGTTTTTTACTTTTGTCACAGAAAAAAAAGAAAAAGCTTTGAATGAATTAAAAATCAGATCTTCTTTATGGTTCTCACTGTGAATAAAACGGGTTTTAACCTTTAATTTGTATCCACCATTGGACTCAGACAATATTTAGCATGTGTTTTCCTTTGTGAACATTACTTGTCTACCAAACAAGG